GAAATTTATCGGTAGAATCCATTAGTACTAAAATATAGGTGTGCATTTTACATTTCTATATATGGATGCATATTATGTCCCCAGCACAGAAAGTGTTTACACATTTTTAGAATAATTTTGGAGCCTTCCAATTGATGTTTAAAACATTAAGAGCACTTCTTTAAATGTTCAATCTGACAGCCTTTTCCTTGGATTAAAAGCCAGCACTGTGATTTCCATGACAGCAGGGCTTTTCTTAATAAACTCTCCAGAAATGTTGATTTCAATTCTTCCATTACTTTCTAGAATACATCCATCGTGGTGGGTTTGCACTTAGAAAGAGCTTTTTTTGAAAGACCAAACACACAACAGTCCATAGGTGAATATATGGGGCTCTTCATGGGAATACACTGAAAGTGTATACATACAATATCTGTATCAGTCTGCATTTGTTTCAAGGAATTTAGTGGTACTTTTCAAAATATGACTTGCTGCTTTTTGAAAGTCACTGGAATAAATCAATGGAATTTGTTCTGTAAATAATACACGTAAAACTTTCTCATGATAGCATACCAACCGCAACACGTTCTTATTTTTAATTTCACACTGTCTCGAAACTTTCTTTGCATTGGCAGAACCAGGTTTGTACATTTTTTTCCTCATTTTTGATAATAAATAGATCTCATTTTCTTACAGTCATTTAGGTAATTCATCAAGGGTTACAATGAATTTCCAGCTAAATAGTTTTCATGCAGGGTTCTATAAATTATTCTGTATTGAAGCACATGCCTTGTGAAAAGCAAAAACATTGAAATTTTTACCTTTTTTAAGATGTATATCTTGGCTTATTATTTTCTTTATTGTATCTACAGAATTTGCAACTGATTTCTATCATATCGACATATTTTCTCTTGTTACCAATGGATTTTCCCATATTTCTTTTGTTAAGTTTATTCTTTTGTTCTTATTTGTTTTTCCCATATTTCTTTTTGTTTGTTAACTTTTATAAGATTAAAAAACAGGATATCCTTTTTCTGGTATTTGTTTGGAGTCTTTTTTGCATGTAGAAGTAATGACTGACGGTTTTTCTCTTTCTAATTAATAACGTTGCTCATTTTGCACTCAGAAATTTTAATACCAATGCATCAACATCTTTGAATTATGGAAGAGGAATGTTTCTTTTCAGGAAGTGCAAAAACTAATCTCTGAAACCATAACCTGTTTACATGTATCATTTTGACAGAATAAATTTAAAAACAGCAGGCAATATCTTTCATTTCAAATAATAAGTTGCTGCCAGAAATTTTTATTCTAAAACATCTGCTTTCATAAAATTCTTTATCAAAGCTATTCTAAGCTCTCTGTAAAATACAATCAAGCTTTAACATATAATCATTGCAAAGAAATGCTGAAAGCGGAATATCCTACAACATACTTAGGTCGTTTTGGCAAAGTCCACTGCTGCAGGCATTTCATTTGATACTCATTTACTGCTATTACCAGAAAAAATGTAATCTGAGATTTTCCAAAGAACAATCATTTTTACTATCAAACTGTATTTTACACTTTTGGTTGTAGAAACAAAAAGAAACTAGAAACATAAACCTCCAAATTCCAAAATCCCACACATTTGACGGGTTGCCAGATAAAATACATTTCTGGAAAATTTTAGGTTGCCCACTTTAGCAACATTCCACTTAGCCCAGTCATTCTTGTCACTGCTGGGCAGATAATTTCTTTAACAGTATTTAATCTATTTTATATGCACATGTATATTTAATCTGTACATACACAATAAATATTCAGATATAAATAAAATAAGCATACATATAATTTTTAGAGATTAGGCTTTTTTTCATAGATGTTCTTTTCTTCAGTTTCAAGGACTAATTGCAATTTTCCTGCACATTTGTTCAAAATTACATTGAAACTCATTTAAATGCTGCATCTATCCATTTATCCTGGAGAAAATGAATTTATGTACAATGTCCCCCCCTAAAAAAAAGACAGTTCTATATATCTCCCGTTCTACTGGGCCGATTGACGAAATTCAACTTGCATTTTTCATGCCTTGAAAGTGCAACTTAGGATATGTATTAGATTTATATATAGCATTGTTCCAATATAGGTATTCTGACACAAAATTGAACTTTACTGAAATAACATACCAATTTTTTTCTATATTTCAATTCTACAACTCAAATTACGCCAAACTACTAAGTTTTATCAAAATCACACCAGTAATTTTTAAAAAATTAGCTCTCAAAATTTTACATTGAGTTTGGTATATATATTTATTAACCTCTTTTTTTTTAATTAAGCTTATTTGATTCTTCCTTTCACATTTCGAAATTCAGGTTCATTCCAAATAAAATTCACAGATTTTTTTATGATTTATTTTTTAAATTTGTATTTTTATCAATTTTTGAATTGTAATTTATAAAATTTTTACCATCATCGTAAAGTAGACGTATTTCTAAGCATAATTCTTAAAAAATTGAAATTTTTTATTCAAAATTTCCGAAGGTATACATCAAGTTATATATTGCCGCATTTTGAAATTTGGCATATTTGTTGAGAGGAATAAAACATCAAATGTGGTTTAGGTTTAAACACTTTGATAGAATTATTTGAAATTAGGAACGATGTAACTTTTTTCCCACTCATGCACAATGTAAAAAGGTAGGAACGAGGTGCCTTTTTTTCTGCTCTGGCATAATGAAAAGGAAAGGTAAATAGGTTTCTATAATATTAAGAATTTCGCCAAATTGAAAAAATACATCAAGAATAATTTTTGAATTTTTCCATAAATTTCACCCCAAATTTTTCAAAATTTAATATCGAGGCATAATTTAAGTCTTAGAATTGAAATACGGAAAAAAACTGGCATGTTATTTCAGATAGTCTGATTTTGTGTCAAAATACTTATGTTAGAACAATGCTATATATAAATCTAATATATATACTCAATCGCGCTTTTGAGACGTAAAAACACGATTTGAATTTTGTCAATCAGCCCAGTAGAAAGGGAGATATCGAATTGTGCTTTTTTTTTTTCCATTACATCTGCAAAATTTTCAATAGGCATTCTGAAATATTTCTGTTGAGACGAAACACTCAAAAATGAATTATAAAATTTCTGCTCAAATGTTCAGAATATTTCTGAACATCAAAATAAGGGGGGGGAATTAATATTTCCTCAAAAAAGTAGTATTTTATTCTGCTATTTCATGAAATTTTTCAATTGCTTTTTCAGCTAAATAGAGATTAGAAACCACTTACGACTTATTTTTCATCAATTTTAAAAGTAAAACATTTTCATTTAAATGACAGGTTAAAAAAAAAGGAAAAATGATTTCATCAGGAATACAATCAGTTGAGAATTAAAACAGGATAACCAACAGAAAAAGGGGACAGGAGACTGATGTCATCAAATTATATAAACTGATGATTTACCAGAAGTATCTTTTGCCGATAGATATAAATAGTAGTTCTGCAGAGGACAACACGTGCGTATCTAGAGTTTCCAGTGCTGGGGGACAACTGAAGAATTTGATTCCCTTTCTGTGTGCCAAGAATGGAAAACATTTCATTAAAAAATTTCGTAGCTTTAAATTTGGCATCCCTTGGATGCTGCACCCGGGGACAGATATCCCCCCTAGCTACGCCACTGGTGGATAATACTGATTTGAATGCTTGTTAAGCATTCTGAAGCCAATGTGCAATCACACTGATATAATGGCAATTCATGCCAAAACATGCAGGCAGATTCAGAGCTTTTTGATATTCATATCCTGCAATATATGTATGCTTAATGTTTTATATGTATACCTTATGTTTAATATATTTCCACATGCAGATCTGATATATATACTGAGAAAATCTTCACTCAGATAACCTTGCACAATTTTTAGAAATGTTTTCAATGAAAAATTTCAAAATAAAAGTAGGAGGAGGATATATTCTCCAGCTCAAAATGAAAGCTGCATATGACTTTGAAGCATACCATTTATTAAAGGTTATCGATTAATTAATTTAATTTTAGTTGAATAAATTAAATGAGGTGTCACTAAATCAAGAATGAAATTTATATAAAAGTTTTTTTAGGTAGATCTTTGTTAAAAGGGTCATTATGTAAGATTAGCAATATTCACACCTTAGAAAATGGACAAATAAGTTTGACAATTCCTGTGACCATGCACATGACTATTTTAACAAGAAAGTATACCAGTTTCCATACTTAACATTTCAGAAATATTATGTAAAAGATAATGCAAATGCATAAATCCTTAAATCAAACTCGGGGGAACTTTTTTATACGTTCAAAAAAAAGTGTAAGTAAATGGTATTTGAATTACCATTTACTTATGCAGGGGAAAGAAAAAATGTAGAAAAATTAATAAAATTTGTTCTTTTTTTATTATTTATTTAAAAATAAGTAAAATATGTTCCTACAGACTAGAATATTATTCATTAAAGAATGTACATAGCATCTTCTCTAATAACGAAAATGCGATTCAATAATGTGCTGTCTAATTTTATCTAATGAGGCCCTAATTTTACCTAGGAATTACGTAATTCAACCAATTTTGGTTTAAATGATTTTATACAACTGAAACATTACAGAAAACCTCTGAATTGCTAAATGTTATTTCTATATTTAGAAAGATTTTAATAATCATTAATAGTCATAAAATATCCAGTATGATATGTACTAAAATGATAGATAATTTTAAACGCCATTTGTACAAACCATTGGCCTTCCATCAACAATGAATCTTAACTAAAATCATACCAAATGACACAATTACGATGAAAAATCAGATTTTAAGTAAGTAACGGAAGAAACTATTGAACAAGACAGCACTGTGTCTCATAATGGAATTTTATTACGAGTCTAACTTTTCTTTAAATGAAAAGGCAAAGTTTCAGGATATTCATTTTCATGTTAAGTAAGAAAATGCTATGCACAAAAGACACAATTAAAAATACTATAAAAATAATATTTAACAATTACTAACCATGTAACTATTAATGAACTTTTAGGTATCTCACTTTAATAACTTCCCATCTAAAAGAAATTAAATACATATTACTTTCAATAAAATATCATCAATTTTAAGAATACAGAAAAAATTTTCAAACCAAGAAATAACAAAAGAATTCAGCTAATGATATACAAATAGTAAATAAATACATCAATAATCAGTAAAACGAATCTGTGAATCTTCATATATTAAACGGTAGTAAAACTCAAAATCTGAAATTAACTGTTATCATATTATGATAATAAATGTAGTCCAAGGAAGAATTCAAATAAAAATCTCAAATATATCCGCAATTCAAATAATTAGCAATAACGCCACTCATCTTTCATCGGCCATTTGTAAGGCTTACCTGATGGTGCTAAATAATACAAAAAAGATGTAACAGATAAAATGGCACTCTTCTACGCGACAAAACTTAGTATTTAGTTTCAATTACCAAGTAAATCACTATCTTAATTTCAACAAAATACTATTTATTGAGAGAAAGAATGCAGAGTTTACACATCTCTTACACACTCTACTTAAGTTAACCAGTCACAAAGTTGAGATGTTTGCCTTCTGTTTTATCGATGGTTTTTAGTTTGGCATTTGAGATTCTGACCGGTAGAGGGCGATTAAGTTCGCCCTGCAAAGGTTAAAATCTCCGATAGAAAAATACAAGTTTGGCGAGAAATCCCCACAGTTGGCGACAACTTGGCAACCTTTTGGTCAGGTCCATGTATCACTCTAAAAGGCACTGTAATTGAATAAGTGTGGGCTAGAGTAGATTGAAGGGTGCCTCCTGTATTATCGCGGAATTGTTGTTTCATTTATGCTAACCTGAATAGTTGAATTATTATGACGTAATCGGTTGCCTGATTGGGCTAATTTTGAATTATGGGAAAAGATTCGTAAGGGCTTGTGGTGTGTGTTAGTTAGGAAGTACATTGCTTGTTTTTTGATTTAGACGGTAGAATGGCTGAACGTGGTAAGATTAATTGAAGTTTCTGTACGATTTGGAAAGAAAGGGAAAAAATCATTAATTCACTGGTGTGTAAATGAAGGTTTACTTAGCCGCCATTATTAAATTAGAAGGTTTTTCTCTCGCCTTCTTAGCGTGCCTTCGTGATGTGGTGGTCTGCAAGCAGGGCGCGTATATCCATAGATGCGTGGTTCGATTCCCGGCAAAGGCATTGCTCATTTTTCCTCATTTATGCTTCCAAAAAATCCTAATGTCTGTACAGTTGCGCCCCGCAGTGGCTAATCGCAACGACGGTGCGAATAGCTAACAGGCTATTCACACCACCTACGTACGCGCTTGCGCACAATCAGCCCAGGTACCAGCGTTTTACACCGATTTCCGTAAGGCAGGCGGTAGTGAGAGCGAAGGTTGTTAACCCTAACTCAGCAATAGAAAGGGTTGTTAATAGTTCACCAACAAGAGAATAATTTGCAAGTAATAATTATCAGTTACAAAGACAAGGTCAATCTATATACATGATAATGTTCAGGAAATGATTAGATAAAATAGGGATTTAATGATGCTTCTAAGTGCAAGCGAGGATGAGTAATTAAGGGGACTCATACACCTTAAACCCCTCATGATCTTCGAATATGTGACTGTTGCAAGAACTGGGATATTTTATTTATTTATTTTAAAATCAATTACTTCCAACTTTTTACAGCTGAACTACATAATATAGCTGCTTTAGGAAACTAGTAACCAGAAAATTTATGTTGCCACAAATATTTTTGTACCTTTAATCCTCTTTGTGACAAAATATTTTCGCCATGTTTCCACCTTGCGCGCATGATATTTTTTAAAAATGGCTAATAGTACATACTTGAAATTTGATGGAATTCTTTTATATGGGCACTATTTTCTAACTGAACCAATAAAATCTGATGATTATTTTAAAAATTTACTGAAAATATTTTATGGACGAAAACACATTACAATTTTTTTTTTTAAATAAAATACATTTTATAAACTCAACTCAAAATAAAATAAAAATTTAACATGAAATTTTTAGAATATTTAGGTTCAACAGTAGTTTCCAAGATGTCATAAAATCTCTATATTAAATATGGAATTAAATTATGCAAAAAATTTTTAAAACTGTGCACGCAAGTTGGAAACACGACGAAATATGTTTGTCACAAAGCGAGATTAAATTATAAAAATATTTGTGGCAACACAAACTTTTTGATTACTATTTCAGAAAGCAGCTATATTATGTAGTCAGCTGTAAAAAGTTGGTAGTAATTGCTTTTAAAATAAATAAGTTACCCCAATTCTTGCAACAGTCACCTATTCGAACATCTTATGGGTTTTAAGGTGTATGAGTACCCTTAATTAAAAAATCTTTAGTGTATTGACAAAAAGGCTACAGAAATTCCTTAAATTCTTTTATTTAACAGAGGAATTTTTATGCAAACTTAGACCCTATTCTTATAGCATAGGACTATCAGAATTTATTATTGAATAAGAAAACTTACTGAAAATGATAATATTCTTATATATTCATAGCTTTTCAGTATCCACACAGGTTTATAGGTTCAAAAGCCATATTTCAAAATCAAAGTTATTTATGAAATAAAACCATACAAAATATGATAAATCATTTGTGTGTGCAAATTTTTAAATTAAAATCTCTTACATTAAATTATTTCTGTCTTTTAAATGACATCCCATTATTTATTTCAATTTAATTGATTAATGTGTTTGTACTAATATTTCAAAGTTCTTTGAAGCACTTTTTGTGTTCTGAAAATGCCAAGTATTTCCATAAAAAAAAGTAAGCAGGCATACAGAATACTTAATTTAATAGTTGATATAATCGCGTTTAACTTATTTCATGACTAAATTTTCTACGCAGAAATCCTCTGTCTAATTTTTAGTATCTTTTATCGACGAAATTTTTCAAAGAGGAATTAATTAAAGTCTTGATTGCGCAAAACACATCTTCAAAGCTAAATGTATTCTAAGAAGTACAAAAAAATGTAAACAAGATTTTGTCCCCCCCCAAATCAGTCATTTAAACTATTCAAACCGTTCAGGAAAAGGATAAACATTGTGAACATAAAAATCTGCCCTTTTTTTTTATATATACTTTAATAAAAGGAAATGTGTTCCTTCTTTTTATAATAAAAGGAACCCATATTCCTTTGCAAACTTTTGAAAGTCGCCAACGTTTAAAAAATGATAAACTGCGCCAAGGTAGAAACCCGGCTTTTTTTTATAAAAAAAGATTCACTAGAACAGTTCGCGTACCTAGAATCCGTTCCTTTCGATTGGGTTCTATTGATGGATTTGACAACTCAATGCGCATGCGTGGTTGATGGTGGTGCGAATAGCTTAAGCGGCTAATCGCACCGGTGGTGCGAATAGCATCGGCCGTTGCGCCCGAACTAAAAGGGTGGTAGATGATGATTCTTCACACCCAGGATTTGGAAATTGGGTTCCCTAAACTCCAGTTGCCCTTTAAAAGGGGGAGTATATAAGGTATTTCTCTCGCCTTTCTATCGTGCCTTCGTGGTGCGGTGGTCTGCACGCTGGGCGCGTATTCCAAAGTTCCGTGGTTGCATTCCAGGCGAAGGCGTTGCTCATTTTTCATCTTTCATGCTTACAAAAAATTCTTAAACCATGTTTGTAGGAAGGAAATGCGTATGGTCGGACGATACCGGTGCTACGTAGAATATTTTTGACTTTTATTTTTGTGAATTTATGTGGCGACGCCAGGATACAGATTCTAATTCAGATAATTTTAGGAAGTTTTTGGATGCTGTTAAGGACTTTAGTTTGACTGAAGACACATTAATTCGTAAATAAGCTAATGGATATTTCCTTTGTGTAGTGCAAAGATAAATTTCCTTTTTTATGTTATTTCATTGTTTGGTTTAAAATGTAGTTTATTGAGATTATATATTTTTATTGACTGTTCCTTTGACTTTTTAACTGAATATAGATCGATGTGTACATGGACAAAGGCAAGGGAGTGCGCAATGCCTAGTTTGTGCAATTCTCTGTCTTTTGAAAGCGAAAATAGGTCGATGTGTAAATGGATACCGAGTTTGTACAATTAAAAATCACCCCTACATAAACCAAAATAACAAGTCAAAGAATTCCACAAACTCAGTATCCATGTACCGCCAAAAATTGTCAATTTCCGTCAAGTGGCACTGTTCGGCTTAATATAGCGCCCTCTAGGATCAGCGCCCTCTTGTGAGAGGAGCTAAATTTAGTTGAGTTGGTTGTTGAAGAATGTACGCAGCGGACCTATGGTGCGTTTGCTCGTTCCACTTTGTCTGTGCTAATGGAGCACTTAACTTGTAACTTTGTACATTATGTAAATAATTAAATATTTGTGTGGCCTAACTTGGTTTTATTTTGGAATCAGCGCCATTATCTCTTGTAACTCATCGCATTTTATACCAAACAAAATTTATGGTCCGTCAAGCCGGAGTTTTTTGGTTTTGTTAACTAAGTCCGTATTAGTATAAAATGGCCACTATACTATAGTTGCTTTAAAATCGAAAGAAGGGCTCACTAAAAGCCCAGTTAACTAGAATAGAGACTGTCATAGCGGATAGTACAAGCATATGGACTAAAATCAAAATAGATGCCAAGCTCAAGGCCTTGGAAAAGATGTCTGTTGCATCGGATACACTTCGATCGGAATATTATATTGCTGTGCCTGAAAAGGATGATACTTCTGAAATAGAAGAGGAATTATTAGATCTAGAAGCAAGAATCGAAGATCTAGAGGTAAGTTTCAATCAAATGTTAATTGATAATGTTTCTACTATTAATAAGGTTGATATCATAAAGAGTAGTTGTAAAATAAAGTTACCTGAAATTCCACTTCCGCAATTTAGCGGAAAGTATGAAGAATGGAGCATGTTTAAAATTGAATTTAATATATGTTGTCTCGAATACTCAATTAACAGATGCACAAAAGCTAATTATCTGCATGCCGCTCTTAGGTAAAGCAAAATTGTTGCAAAATCAGGAAGATACTTTTGAATCATTATTTAGGGCTTTAGAAAATCGTTTCGAAAACCAGAGAATTCTTGTTAATATTCACATTAAAGCTATCTTAGAATTCGAAAAAATTATTTATGAATCATCGAAAGAATTAAGGCGTCTAGTAGATGCTGTGAATAAAAACATTAGAGCTTTAAAGAATTTGGGTTTCGCACGAAACAAATTCTCTGATATTTTAATTACTACTATCATTTTAGACAAAATAGACAAGGAAAACTTGAAAGCAGTTCGAATTATCTGTAAACGCTTCAGATGTTCCTAATTTCGATAACTTGATGACATTCTTAGAAAAAAAAGAAGTCAAACTTTGGAATGTATCCAAAAAAACAGGATAAAATTAAAACAAGTGAATGAAATAACAATAAAAAAAACCTTCTTGTTCATTCAAATAATTCGGAAAGAAATTGCGTTATATGTAATTCGCCACATTCTCTTTTTAAATGTAGTAAATTCCTTGATATGAATTTTGGTGAAAGATTTACGCTAGTAAAAC